TGTTTCAATAAGCATCAAACATGCACCGTACTAACATGGGCATCTCTTTTTTTCTTTTTTTTATGACTTTAACTTTATTTAGGTTTTAACAAAATAAAACATACAAAATGTACCATGTTGCACATTATACCAATTGGGTATGCAAGCACTGAAAGCAGACAATATAAAACAAAACAAACCATAAAAGAAAAACAAGAAAGATGCCAACAATACACTTATCCAAGGTTACAGCAGACATTACAGATTAAGGTTGAACTGAGCTGGAAACGTCATTGACCCGTGTAGGAAAAGTAGGGGGCCCATTTGTCATTGTAATCCTCTACTCTATTTAGCAGTCTGTATGATAGTCTTTCAAATGCTGCCAGTTGTCCAAGTGAGGTGTGCCACTGGGTGAAAGTAGGTGGTGACGGGGCCTTCCACTCCCTCACTAAAAGTTTTCTCCCCAGCATGATGGCTGTCTGTACCCACTGTGCAAGAGAAGAGGGCAAATAACTCAAAACTGAAGGATCTCCCAGTACATAAAGCCTGTTAGTAAAGGGAATGCCCTGACCAACAACCCCCTCCACAACCGTGTGAACAGAGGACCAATACACTTGAACTTTAGGACATCCCCAGAGCATATGCAAAAGTGTGCCACTATCATGCTGGCACTTCCAACAGGCATCAGAGTCTGCTAATCCCACTTTATGCAATCTAGAAGGTGTCCAGTATATGCGGTTCAGGATTTTAAATTGGACCAATCTAGACCGTAATTCTCGTGACAATTTTGTCATATTCCCAAGAATTTTATTCCACTCTTCTTCTGTAAAACAGAGATTCAAATCAGTTTCCCAGGCTCTTTTAAGGGGCAGCATATTGAGATCTGAGGTTGACAGTAACATTTTATAATAGACTGAGGCCTCGTGTCCGCGTCCAAAAACCTTTTTAATTTGCTCCAGAGTATCACAGCACAAGGGGGGCTTTGTGGGTGAGCCAAATGTATTTACAATCAAATGTCGTAATTGCAAATATTTCCAAAAATCCTGCCGGGATAAATTAAAGTCTTGTGCGAGTTTTTCAAAAGATTTCAGTACATTGTTGTCGTATAAATCACCCAACACTTTTATACCTTTCTGATACCAGGACTTCCAAAAAAATGGCGACTTTGCTATGCAGAGTTTGGGATTATGCCAAATACCAGCAGACCGGTTGTGGTGGGGGTCAAATTTAAGAATTTTTGACATTTTCTTCCATACTCCTTTCAAGTGAGACAGAATAGGGTGTGACTGGTTAAGAGGGCCAAGATTAGTTGATAGAATATAGAGCGGTGTGAAGGGTAAACAGGCCATGCTCTCTAGGTGGAACCAAGGGGGTGCTTTCTCAGGGGGTAGAAACCAATGTGCCAGGTGCCTGAGAGAAAAAGCATAGTGATAATGGAGTAAATTAGGCATCCCAAGTCCACCTTTATCTACTGGTCTCTGTAACTTTTTCAAGTTAAGTCTAGGTTTCTTATTGCTCCAAATAAATGAATTACAAAGTTGATCAAATTGTTTAAAATAGTTCAAAGGAACATGGACAGGTAGAGCTTGTAACAAATAGTTAAGCTTGGGTGTGCAGACCATTTTTATAATGTTTACCTTGCCCCACATAGAGAGATAAAGCTGACTCCAGCGGTCAACGTCAGCTCTCATCCCACTTAATAGCGGTTCAAAATTTATTTTTATTAAGTCTGACAACAGCGGTGGCAAGATAATACCAAGATACTTTATGCCTTTCTGAGGCCAAGAGAACGTGCCAGTTGGAAAAAGAGTCTTAGGGCAGTAGGAAGTCAGAGGTAGGAATGCTCTGGGTCCGAGAAGAAAAGAAGAATGTCGTCGGCGTACAGCATGAGTTTATGACAATCCCCCCCTATGCTTACACCTGGAATTGTGGGCTCTCTGCGAATAGCAACTGCCAATGGTTCGAGGGCAAGGGCGAAGAGAAGGGGGGAGAGAGGATCCCCCTGCCTAGTGCCGCGACCTAGTTCAAATGAGGGACCTATAATACCATTTGTAAGTACCGAAGCCTTGGGGTGGACGTATATGAGTCTAATCCAGTCAATAAAGCTTTTGCTGAAGCCAAAGCATTCCAGAGTTGTGAATAAATATCGCCATTCAACTCTGTCGAATGCCTTTTCGGCATCCAACGAGATAGCAGCCACAGGAGACTGACTATCCTGAACTGCCCACATGATGTCAATCAGTCGCCTAACGTTATCCGCTGAGGAGCGCGAGTGTATAAATCCAACCTGATCCGCATGAATAAGCGAGGTTATAACTCGATTTAATCGATTGGCCAGAACTTTAGATAAGATTTTACTATCATAAGAGGTCAAACTTATGGGACGGTAGCTTTTACAATCAGAAGCATCCTTATCTTTTTTCAAAATGAGCGTAATAATGGCCTCTGACAACGTAGGTGGAAGCCTGCCCATTTGATAGGCTTCATTATAGGTGTTTAGGAGTAAAGGTGCCAATTCTTCAGGATATGATTTATAAAACTCGGCTGTGAAGCCGTCTAAACCTGGAGCCTTACTTGAAGGAAGATGTTTAATAACCCCAACTAACTCCTCAATAGTGATGGGTGAATCCAGATACTCAAGCTGATCGGCTGTGACTTTGGGAAGATCTAAAGGTAGCATAACATTTCTTATATCATTCTCTGAAGCATTTGACTCCGAGCTGTACAGGTCCATGTAGAAGTTACTGAATACTGTATTAATTCTCTTGGGCTCAAAAAGTAGATGTCCATTACCATCTTTAATGGCTGAGATAGTGTTCAGGGCCTCCCTCTGCTTGATATATCTTGCCAGGAGCCTACCTGCCTTATCCCCCTCCTCAAAATACTTCTGTCTCACACGAAATAAGGAAAATTCTGCTTTTTGTGACAGTATTGCATTAAATTCATATTTCAATTTGGTCAATTTGTTCAAATTTGAAAAGGAGGAGTTTCTTTTAAAACTAGATTCGGTGGTTGCAATCTGATGTTCGAGATCCTGGAGCTTGGCAAGTCTCTCTCTCTTCTTAAAGGAAGCATATTGAATAATGTGTCCTCTTAAAAAGGCCTTCAATGCCTCCCAAGCCACTCCCGCTGAAGGGGCACTGGGCACATTGGTTTCTATATACAGGTTAATTTGAGACCTAAGAGACTCTTTGAATGTTTCGTCTAATAAAAGGCTGGAGTTCAGTCTCCATCTAGGGGTCCTGATGGTAGTATTGAAAGCAAACATATGGAGGTAGACAGGGCTGTGGTCTGAGAGAATTATATTGCCAATAGTACTAGATGCAACAGCCGACATCAGTGATTGAGACACCAGAAAAAAATCTATTCTCGAGAAGGAGTGGTGGGGAGAAGAGAAAAAGGTATAGTCCCTCCCAGAAGGATTTTGCAACCGCCAAACATCCGTTAGAGCACATGCCTCAGACATCCCCCTAAGAGCAGTGTGGGCCCTAGAAACCCGTACCAGTTTAGAGCTTCGGTCTAGTAGTGGGTCCATAACCTCATTAAAATCACCCCCCAAAATAACTGGATAGTCTCCCATATCAATTATTTTTTTCTCAAGTTGTCCAAAAAATGTTGGATCATCAATATTCGGAGCATATACATTGGCCAAGATTATAGTATTCCCTTGAATTTCACACAGCATCAGCAACATCCTCCCAGCGTCATCTTTGCTCTGTTTGAGACATTTAAACTGTAGGTGTTTACTAATCAGCGTTGCCACCCCTCTGCTTTTGCTACTGCCACTGGATGCACCCACAAAGCCTGCCCAACCCGCAGACAACCTCTGAGAATCCAGAGGTGAAAGATGTGTCTCTTGGACAAAGACAATATTGCATTTTTTGGATTTTATAAAAGACAATACTTTCCTTTTCTTAACAACATTGTTGTGGCAGTCGTGCCACCGTGGGTGCCCCGACAGAGTCTCTGAGACCAGGATTTGTTGGGTTGACAGGTTTATTGGAGCGTGTGTGCCACGCACACACACTCTCGCACACACAAACACACACTCACACACGCCCGGCTAGGGCTCGTTCGGTTATCGACCGTTTCGGTTCCGTTCCCGAGCTGGTGGCGGGTCCTGCTCCAGCTCTCTCCAAAACCAGTCCTCCCCCCAGGTCCAGCACGCTACTCTTTTACAGAGGGGAGAGTGATTAGCCAACTGGTTCCAGCTGTGCTTAATCACCTCCCCTGGCACTGCTCACCTGAGCCTTCTCCACCCCTCCCCCCTGCAGCTGAGCGCCACGCCCCCTCCACAATTGTTAAGGCCCTTGACGTTCCAGCTCATAAAGCTCAAGTTGTTATTACTAGTTGGTAATGCACAAGATACATATAGAACAGAGTGCGCAGTAACCTACAAAACGAGTTAGTGTTTTTGGCATCAAAAGAACAAAACAACAATATAAACAGGCATGACAAACTTGTCAGAACAAGACCCAAATAGCATTCAAAAAAAAGGACACTAATCCCTCCCTCACCAAGGTCCGTGAACATACACTTAACTCGTGCCGCCTTTAAGCCCCCTGCTCCCCGAACTCTGGGCCAGGTGAGTAAATATATATGCATATCCATACACACACATACATACCCATACATATATAAAAAGAGAAGACAAAAATCCCTGAGCCCAATATAAAATAAAACAGCAACAAAGAGTCTACTAAGAGTCGCCGCCACATCAGTATGTCATTTCAGACCAGGTCCACAACGCAGAGGAAAAAGTACAAGTAATGTAAACTCCAAAATTTGAACCAAATACTACATAAAGCACATAAAAGCCGTGCTCACCTTACCACCGCCAAGTACCAAATCCGCATTATACTCTCAAAGTCATTCGTGGGAAGATGAAGAAAAACACAAAATAAAGGTCCATGACTGTCCGTTGTATAAGGTCTGTAACAGTCAGTATATTTCCAGTATCCATATGCGTTACGAACCATATCGCACGAACATGTCCAGAAGAAAAAGCAAAAGAACGCATTTTACTCCAAAGAGCGAATAAAAGTCAGGGCTTTTTTGTGGTCTTCAAAGCGGCGGGGTCCTTGAGGGGTTTTCACGACGAGTACCGCAGGGTAGACCAGGGAGAAGTGCATATGTTTGTCGTGTAGAAGTTTTTTGCACTCGTTGAACTTCACACGCTTGTCACTCAAAAGCTTGGAGTAATCCGCAAAAACCATAACACGGTGCTCTTCCCAGGAAACGTCACCCATTTTACGTGCAGCCTCAGCGATGCGATTACGGTCTTGAAATCTCAGAAATCTAGCAATAAGCGGTCTCGATCACGGAGGCTGGTCACCGTCGTACCTCTTTGGCGGAGCTCCAATTCTGTGTGCCCTCTCAATTTCCAGTCCCTTTGGGAAATCCAGGTTAAAAATCTTTGGTATGGTTTCTTCCAAAAAATGCACAGCATCATTATCCTCACAGCCCTCAGGGAATCCTACAAAGCGCAAATTATTCCTTCGTTCTCGGTTTTCAATGTCATCTAACGTCTGCTGGAGTACGGCAACTTCATCAGCAGTGGCCGCCGGGTTAGCCTTTCGCCTCTCGTGCTCATCTTCCAAAAAGCACAGCCGGATCTCCACCTCACCAATCCGATCAGCTATGTCAGCAATCTTACTTTCCGTAGCCCTTGTGCTTATCCGTATTTCCTCCAGTTTCTTATCTTGGCCGTCAGACTTCTCCACTATAAGAGCTGAGAGCTTAGCTAACTCCTTAGCCACCTCACCGGGAATGTGCCTCGCTGCCGCCGCTTCAGTCTCCACAATGTCGTCGCGCAATGGCGCTGCCTTCTGGCTAGCTTGGTTAGCACTAGCTGTTTCGCACGCCTTGTTCGCACCAGCCCCAAAGGCAGGTTTAGTAGAGTTTCTGGTGACGTTTGGCATGGCAGCGACGAAGAAATGTTATCCAAGATATAGTAGCGCAGATTTCAAGACTCTTTGTTGTGTTTTGGGCAAAAAATATACACGGGGGAAAGCGCAGTTCACTCTCAGGCAGCCATACTCGCCAAGCGCGTCACGTGACTCCTCTAACATGGGCATCTCTGAGTTATGGTTTGTTACTTGGAATGTGCGTGGAGCTGGGAGGTTAAAAATCCACAATCGGTTAAAAGATCTACAGGCAGAGGTTGTTTTACAACAAGAGACTCATTTACCAAACACAGCAATTGATGTTCTTTCCACGGCCCACTTTATCTGTGTCTTTTCAGCTGGATACAACTCCAGACAAAGAGGTGTAGCTATTTTGATAAACAGAAAAGTAACATTTACAATTAACAGTACAACTGCAGACCCAAAAGGAAGATTTGTAATAGTTAGTATACTCATTGAAGATATGAAGTTTTGTATAGCCAATATATATGGTCCCAATGTTGATGACCCCTCATTCTTTCATTCTTTTTTCACATCACTCTCTCATCACTCAGATAACACACTCCTCATAATAGGGGACCTCAACTTGGTGTTGGACCCAGCTGTGGACAGGCTCAATAACACAGGGACTCAGCAGTCCACCAAAATTATTAAACAATACATGAATGATTTTGTTCTTTGCGATGCATGGTGATCCCATCACCCTTCACTTAAGGATTACACATTTTTCTTACCCATACAACAATCATACTCAAGATAAGATTATTTCTGGAGGACTTCCGGTGTGGTGGGTGAACAAGATGGACATCTAGTCTAGAGCTCCTCACAGTCGGTCATTAAACTACACCTCTGTGAGATTCAAAGACATTCAAATTCTCCCCCAAAAAAACAATAAAGTAAGGAGGTAATTATGCAGCAGAGCCGGAAGCTGGGAAGACTAAGCAATCCAAAACCGGAGCTAAAGCAACTGAACCAAAAAGTGGAATCGATGATGATCAGGATAAAAGCCCGTGCAGTAAGGAAACTAGCAAAAATGCCTTTATTGAACCAATTCCGCAACTCTCCAAGGAGTGTAGAAGAGACTAAAGGGATTTTTACATCATTCCTTTTTTTCAATTCACTCTAGTGTACATAGTTTTGGTTCAAAGGTTGTTCCACCTTTTTTCTTTTATATTGAAGTGCATGTCCGGATTGAGTAATTGTGTTAGTATGACCAATGGCGGATAATGTAAAGACACTGTCACTGAATGTAAAGGGATTGAATAATCACATTAAGCGTCAGAAAGTAATGTCCAAACTCAGAAAGAAGAAAGCCCAGATTGTGCTTACAGGAGACGCACTTGACTGATCAGGACAGTGAAAAACCTAAACATTTTGGTTTCAGGAGTGCTCATAGCTACTTTAAAAAGAAGGGCAAAAGGGGTGTCAGTATATTGATCTCAAAAGCGCTGAATTTTGATAACATGAAAGCCTTCGAGGATAAAGAGGGAAGATTTATTATAATGAAAGGGAAACTAGAAAATTTATATCCCACCTGACAGTAGCAAACAATATGTTAAATCTCTCCTTGACAAAATAATTATGGAATATTAGAGAGAATATTAATATGTGTGGGAGACTTTAACATTGTAATGGATGACAAGAGGGACACAACAAATAGGAAGAGGACAATTAGTCAAGTTGCTAAAACTATTAAAACTACGTTCAAGGAGTTTGGTATAGTTGACCTGTGGCAAGAGATTACACACATCACTCATATCCACATGATAGCTATGCCAGACTCGACTATTTCTTTACAAATAAAGCAGACCTGTTTAGAGTAAAAGAATGGGAAATTGAAGGGGCAGATATGTCAGACCACTGCGCAGTGTGTTTAAAAATACAATTAAACACACAAAAGAAAAGAAAACAGTGGAGGTTAAACATTAGGATATTAAATGACCAAATATTGGTTAAGGACATAAGTGAAGAAATAAAAACATATTTAACTTAAAATGATAATGGGGAAGTGAGTCCTATCATCTATGGGAAGATAAGGTTTCATTAAGGGCTGTCAGACACACGATAATATAAGAAGAACACTCCTGGAACAAGTTAAATGCAATAATGTAAGCACAGCATTCTTAAGCCTTGACGCAGAAAAGCCTTTGACTCTACGAGGTACTTGAAAGGTTTGGACTGAATAAAAAAGCCATTCAATGTCAAATGTCAAAATCCAACAGCAAGGATAAAAATCAATGGTGGCTGACAGAAAGTATACAGTTAGAACTATCAATCAGACAGGGCTGTGGTCTATCACCAACCTTGTTTGCGATCTTTATAGAACCACTAGCTCAAGCAATTAGACAGAGTGAGGAGCTTAAGGGAATCACAGTGGGCAGAGAAGACCATATTGTCAGTTTATTTGCTGATGATGTGATCTGCTATTTGAGAGAACCAAACAACAGTCTCCCTCGATTGCTTAGTTTACTGAGTGTCTTTGGCTCCAGCTCTGGATATAAATTAAACTCACCGTATTTTCACGACCATAAGGCGCACCATACTAAAAGACGCAGTCTCAGTTGTGTGTGCCATTACTGTATTTAACACACACATAAGGCGTACCGGATTATAGGGCACGGGTTTTATATACCGGTACATATCCTCTACTACGTTTAAACACCTCAACTGCGTATTTAAAAATGTGCTTTATTAATGTCAGAGTCACTTTCTGTGCCGTGCGGCTCCTCGGAAATTATGCCGGCTTTTGCGAAAGCTCGAACAACAGTGCCAGCAGACACGTTAGCCCAAGCATCTACAATCCATCCGCAAACTGTGGCGTAACTTGCCCGGCGCTGCCTTTCACTTTTCGTGAAACTGTGGTCTCCGTCTGACATCCATCGCTCCCACGCCGCTCACAGTCTTACTTTGAACAGCCGGTTCACACCGATGTCGAGCGGTTGAAGTAACTTGGCTGGATGCGTTTGTCAGCGAGGCTGCAGTAGGAGTGGAAGCTCGCCAGATTTTCATTATAATCCGCCGGACGTTGCTGCACTACTGTAGTCCTGGTCCGGATGGAAAAATGGCACAGTTTCATAAAACGAAAGCACCACGACGGACCTCCTTGAAAATTTGCAATTTTAATTTCTTCCGCTAGCGTTACTGCTTTTAGTCGAACAGTGACCGTCGAAATGCTCGCCCCACTCGTTCTTTGCTCGATGATCCACCGCTCGAGTCTTTCCACCAACTCGGGCCACCTCGCCTTATGTCCGTGGAAACTCAGCTGCGTCTTCTTCACCTTTCGGAGTTCGTTTTCCATCTTCCTCCACTTGCGAACCATCGATTAATTAATCTTGAATTCTCTCGCGGCTGCTCGATTTCCATGTTCCTCTGCGTAGCTGATAACCTTCAGTTTAAACTGTGCTTCATAGGCGTGTCTCTTTGCCATTTTCAGGGTTGTTAAGACAACAATGTTCTGCATAAAGCAAATACCTGTTCTTTTATACACAATCCACGCCCACACTTCCCCCTTTAACGTTCTCATGGTTTTCTCAACGTCCGCAGTAACAACACTCATAGGGCGCACCGCACTATAGGGCGTGCCGCACATTTTGAGGGGAAAAGAAGACGTTTATAGTCGCGAAAATACAGTAACTAAAACAAAAGGCCTAACATTCAATTACACACCATCCAAAGAGGTTTTGCAAACAGACAACTTCAACAGTTTCTTAAGATTCATTAAATACCTTGGAGTTAAATAACAAAAGACATTGACAGTATGTATGTACACCAGCAATTATAAGAAATTAGATAACAGTATAAAAGCAGACATAGAAAGATGGAATGTCCTGTCACTAGACCTCAGTTCTCGAATAGCAACGATAAAGATGAATGTCCTCCCACGTTTGCTATATCTTTTCCAGGCCTTGCCCGTCCCAATTCCAGATAAACAATTCAGAACATATCCAGATTTATTTGGAGCGGGAAAAGGCCTAGAATTAAGCTTAAAACTCTACAGTTGGGGAAACGGGCGGGAGGAATGGCTGTACCAAACCTCAAGGAGTACTTCCGCACAGCACAAATCACACACAGCACATAGTAAACTGATGTGACAAAACCTATATAACCAAATGGAAGAATCTAGAACAATTTGTAAATGAGAGGGAAATATCCAGTCTAATTGGTGATGCAGACAAAGCCAAGTGCCTTACTGATCAGATGAACATTACCAGTTCACACTCAAAATGTGGTATGACATACACCAAAATAAATTCGAACTAGATCTTAGAGTACTCAGATGGCCACCATACGACAAAGGTTTTACTCCGAACACTCAGGATCAAAGGTTTAAACAATGGATCTCAAGTGGGGTAACAGAAATGTGTACTGTAATTAAAGAGGGGGGCTTCATTAGTTTTCAAGGACTGAAGGATTAGTCTCTATTGAGCAATCAAGACAACTACAGATATCTGCAATTTAGAGATTACTTTAACAAGGAGGTGAAACCGACCATAGATTTGGCTAGAAACAATGTATTTAAACTATATTAGGAGCCTAAATCTTGAAGGGTAAGAGAACAATATCTATCTTATATCAACAACTCATGGCATGTAAAGGGAACACATTATATGTGAAACACAGACGGGAAAAAGAGTTAGAAATTGATATTTCAGAAGAAGACTGGTTACACATATGGCAGTAGGGTTGTCACAACACAACATTTCAATTCGATACTGATACTCAGGAAAATATTAGATACTCAATACCATTTTCGATACCACAAGGACAAAAACAAAGACCCCAAAATGTAACTGAATTTTGACAGGTTAGTGTCTTTCTTTTTAAACTTGCCTATTACTGATGTTAATGTTGCCCGTGGCCAGCATTAATGACCCTAACCCTAACCCTCCACCCTTCATAATTGTGAGAAAAAATGTTTTGGGGTTAAAGGTTAAAGACTTATTGTACAAACTCACTTAAAATACACTATTTTAACATCATATTATTAGAGTTGAATTCAGTGTTTGTAAGATTAA